GACTGACGGACTAAATCGAATCTTTTTTTTAACCCATTCGTTATACCTATTGGCTAACAGCACTTATAATATTAAAAATTCATATTTGTCATTAATTAAAAGGGTGTTTTTTGCAACGACTTCTTTGTTTTTTTGTAATGAATATGGGCGACTCTGGCCACATTTTTTTAATAAATGTGATGTTAGCCAATTTTGATTTCTGGCCCTTATATTTATAATGTGTTCATAACACATACATGTCTCCTAAGGGATTTTCATCACAACCTTTTGCTCTGATCCAGAACCACTATCTATCAAATTAATCAATATAAACACCAGATTACAATAAAAAAAACATTTATTTTTGTTACAATTAAGTGCCATGGATAAATTACATAATACAGGTGTCACAAAATCATCATGTTAATCACAATAGAAAATTTAAGATAAGATTTTGACTATGAATCAGACTAAAAATACTTTAGTCTGATTCATAGTCAAAATCTGTTTCTAAATATTCTACACCTGATAACAATGACAAGGAATCATCAGAGTCACTCTCTTCACTACTGTCTGCACCAACAGATATAATAAATTTTTCAAGTTCGTTTTCAACAATGCCATCTTTTAATTTGTAATCATTTTCGACATTTAAAACATGATCAGTGTATTTCTTCCAGTCACTAGGGGTAATTAAGTTAAAACACTCTATTATTAAGTTTTCCATTTCCTTTCCTGGTATTCCAATGTTTCTGCTTGCAATTTTTCTTTTTGCTTGACTCCAAACCATCTCTATTGGGTTTAAGTCACAATGATACGGTGGCAGCAATAAAAGTTCATGATTATGTTCTTTTAAAATCTCTTCAGCTTCATATACAGGCAATGTTTTCTTATCATTAACCAAACACATTAACTCTGCCTTTGTCTGATATTCCTCAAAATGTATTCCATTATTTACAAGCCATTTACGGATATCTGCTTTGGTATTAGACATTATAGGCGGTTTATTGATTTGTTTTATATGGTAGCTGGCATTATCCATAACAATTACACTGGGCTTACTTAAATTTGGTATTAATTTTTCTCTGACCCATTTCATAAAGTTCGATGAGTTCATATCATCATGATAATCAGCAGATTTGGATTTACTACTGAACACTAATAATGCACCAGGCACAAAACCTTCCTCAGATCCAGCATGCACAACAATATGCCGTTTTCCAGAGGATATCTTTGTAGTGACACCAGTTGTTGAAGGTCCTTGCCAAGACTTTTTAACTTTATAATTCTGATGTACATAAGTTTCATCAAGGTACACAATTTGCTTTCCTTCGTTTCGTTTTATATTTATTTCTCTCAAATACTTGTGCCTCCATGCAGAAATCTGGTATTTTTCTATAAGCATAGAACGTTCATTTTCATTGCTTTTAAAAGAAAATCCATTCTTAAGCATAATTTTTCGTAAAGTCTCACGGCTACCACTGAATCCTATTGCATCTTTTAATTCATTGTGAAGGCTTCTTAATGTTGGAACAATTTTTTTCACACAGTAAAATTCATTTACTTTATTCCGAATTGCACTTAAATCAAAATTATCTAAAGCAGACACTGTTGGTTGATGAGGTCGTTTTTTCCCAGGAGTGTCCCATTTTCCTTTATTAATTAATGCTTCATTTTTTATCCTTCTTAGTGTCCTTATACTTACATCTATAAAAGATTAAACACTTTGAAACAAAGATATGTTAAATGTATTTAAAAGCAAATAATGATAGACACATACATCAAAATAATTTAAATACCTATTCAACTATGAATGCAATTTATGTTTAATTTAGTTAAGTTTATGTGCATATTTAGCATGTATAACAATTACATGGTTTGATTAGTTTCATGAATTCTGTGAATTTCCTTGTTAAACAAAACATTCTTATGACATCATTGGATGTCAACAATAAAAACCAATACATCATAAAAAACCTATGTAAATATTATAGGAATACTATCAATCTATCTTAAATCAAAACAAGAAAAGAGACCTGTCATTGAAGAAATTTTTTGTAAGTACTGCGTTTCCGAATTCAGCATTTCTTGTTTTTCTAAAGTTTTTATTGCATTTATCTCCTCCATTATTGGTTGAATATCACCATCACAGTTATCTGAAATAGAGCAATATTTTATAAAAAATATCTGTTTAGTTAATTACAGAAAATTAAAACGAAAGTATCAAAATTATAATACAAAACTAACCTAAAAAAGATACAACTTTATCTAATCGTTGTAATTTCTCCATGAAATTTTTATTTAATTCAGTTTTCACTTCAGTAAACTTGTCAATCATGATGGAAAGAAGTTTCCTCGATGAACTTTTTATCGGCTTCGACATAATTTTTAACCAAAAACACAAGTTCAAATTCGCAAAAACAACAAAATTCAATATTCTTGAATTGTCTAACGTAGTGTCAAACTGACAGTTCTATGTTGTTGCCATATGAAAACGGAAAAATAGGTGGTGTCACGTTTCGCTTGCCAAACTATACTAAGTCTGTGCCATAGACATGTGTGTGCTTATATTCGGCTGTCCAAAACCAAAGCCTAGCAAGTACATCTGATCTAATTATACAGGAGAAGACTTTAAATATTTTCTTCTGCCATTTAGAATAGTATTCCTTCTTTATACTTATCTTGATTTCTTACGAATAATTATAAATTGTTTTACTTTGTGGAATAGTAAAATTTAACATAAGTGCATTTAGACAATTTTTATGTGCCTTGCTAATGACTGTTTTAGATACTTCAAAATATGTATGATACTAAACCAATAGCAGAAACCTAGTAACATATTTTCCTAGGTTTTTAAATTAGTTTCTATAAACGTAATGTTTTAGATCTAACATTAAATACCTGGTAAAGACATTTATTAGATTCTTAATTATTTTTATATATCTAATGTCGCATTTCATCCTAGTAAGTAGCATAATGATAGTAAAAAACCAGAAGTTTAAAATAAAATAGTTTTATTATTGACAAACATAAGGTACATAATCATCTTGGGACATAATAGCACAATATAAAATCATATTTCTTCCGCCATTTCGCCTTCAGTTTGGAGATCAATTGACTCATCGTTCACAGGCTTTTGATACCAAAACGTACGTCTTGTTTCAACAATCACATCCTTTTTACGACCGGGAATGCCTCGATAAACTGATTTTTCTTCAGGTAGCCCAATAAGTTTATAATTTTTATGTAGGAAGTCCAACTCGAGAAATGGTTCATCAAATCTGAAAATAACAATAGTCATAAATCAACGGAAAATACTTTAAGTTTCATTATATACATCTGCTTAACTATCAACAATTACTATTACCTTGTTTTATAAAGAATGTTCCTCGAGCCAGCAACGAATTTTACTTGGACAACTTGTTTGAGTAAGAAAGTTTTCATCAAGTCTTCATCATCATTTTTCCTTAATGCTCTTTTTTATTTGGCCAGTTCCTACAATAACTTAAATCTATGACTTTTATTTTTTGCCTTGAATTATTTACATCAATTTTGTAATTTTCGAGAGCTTGATCAGATTTAGTTTTATGTAACACAAACCTTTGCTTTAGATCGTCTGGCATAACAGATTCATCTGTTTACTTTTTATCTTCTAAATAAAAAAAAACATTCATCGCATTTGTCTCCTTTAGCATGTTAAACGAAATTTTCATTTTTTTAATCTCCTTCCTGTAAGTTTCATCAGAACATTTGGCTTCCGGGTATTTCCTCTTAAAATCGTGGTGCATTTCGCGTATAGTTAGTTCTCTCTTCAAGTATTTTGTGAACGGTGAATTATGTCTATGATAGTGACTGACAGCAAGTTTGTAACTAAGAATATGTTCTTGGAGTAAATTTTTGTTAATCTCTTTTCTTTTTAAGCCTCTTTTTTCCCAGCCAAAGATGCATATAATTGACCCTTCTTTAAAGCTTTTAATAATTCAGTTATAGATCCATCGGTTCCCAATCCAAGTGTATCTAGAAAAAAACGCTTACAGACGGGAACCAAATCTTTCTCTTTTCCTTGGCAGGTGATAGTAACGTGTTTCGTTTCAAACGGAATAGCAGACGTAGTATCAATCTTTCGTCTTTTTATTTCTGCCAATTGAATAAATTTATTTAAAAATGATCTCTTTGTCTGAAATTTTAAATTCCAATACTGTTCCCAAATAGCCAGTCTGTTCCTGCTCTGAAAATTTCAAACATTTTCTCTTGCACTTTCCATCGCAGAGCCTACGTAATATAGGCTGCTTCGTCATATGTTTATTTTTGAAAATGCTATCGTTTTGAGCATTATTTGTTGAGCGAATTAAAACTTGTCGAGGCGGCCGAGGTGCGGCGCAGGAGCATTGCCTCTCCCCCACCTCATGCGTACATAACGTGCGCCGACATTGACTTACTATTATATTGCTATATACTTCAGTAGTTTTTTAAATCAAAGTACGGGACGATTCCAACATTAAAAACCTAGTAAAATACCAATTTCAAATTCAAAAGCCTAGTAAGTTCAATTTGCAAATTCAAAAACCCAGTATGTATAGTTTGAACTAGGAAATGTTACTTACTAACTTTTTCATTTTGTAACCTCCGAGTACGAAGGGCACTTACTAGGTTTGAGCATGTTCATAACTTTGATTCTGTATAAGATAGAAATACAGTTGTTTTTGGTATAGATGTAGCAAAAAATTTTGGAAATATTGGTTTAAGAAAACGTGTTTGAATAAAAATGTCCCTTGCTAGGTTTTGGTTTTGGACAGCCGATATATAAAGACAGGCTGAAGGCCATGGAAGCCAAAGCCGGTAAAATCTTTGAAAAACAAAAAAGTCTGTCCTTATAACCAAAGACTACAATATTATACCTCATAACATGTAGTATGTAGTATCTCTTATTCGTCTGTGATAATGTATTCTGTGAACATGCCCATAAGATTATAACCCTCGTAGTTTGTATCCTCGTATTTTGTGAGTTTTGTGTTTGTAATACGCATTCTCTTCTCTGGTATTCATTTCATATATTTTTGGCAACTTCAAGGAGATATTGTTTAGAATCAATAGGTTATTTATTGATAATAATTGTGAAATATATAAATATTCTTAATGAGAAAGCTTGTTTAGATTTCGTATTAAAATGGGAAGAAAGTTAATAGGTAGAAAGAAAAAAAGTGGTTTTAAACCTATTACTCGAAAGAGTAAAAACAAACAGAATGATAAAGGACAGGTGAATAAAAAAGCAATATTTAATCGTTATAAAAACAAACAAAAAATTGAAGAAGAAATAGCAAAGAAAATGCACATGGAAAAGAAAATGCAGGAGAAACAGATAAAGAATTCAGAGAGCGAAGAAGAGGAAAATGCTTATGGTCAACTATTATCTTGTTTTTCAAATACTGAGAAGGGTAGATGTGTGAGTAGTGATGAAGAAAGTGACTGTTCTTTAAAAAGTTCTCCTTCAAAGTATAGGTGTAAAGAATATAAAGAATCTAATAATGTTGATGGCTCGTTCAGTGAAGACGAAACCACACAGAACAGTGATGATGGTATTGAGGTAAATTTAGCTTATTAAAATTTTGTTATAGCATATAGAGTAGCTCGGTGGCGCAGTGAATAAGCGCCGCGGCCTGCGATCGTTGTCGTTGAGCAACTTTCGCAAGGGTCGATCACGGGATGGGTGACCAGAAAATTATTATCTCAAGCTACTCCATGCTTTGGAAGTCATGGTATGCCTTTGGTCCCGGCTGCATTTGCAGTCGTTAATACCCTTCAATCTGCACTGGGCCAGTGTGGAGGGTCATGGCCCATCCTCCTTAACCATCCATAAGGAAGGCCTGACCCCCTGCAGTGGGGATGTAAAAGGGCTGATGATGATGTACACTAATACCGTGATATGATATATCTGTCAGATATTTCTGGTATATGTTATGATATTTAATTATTAGGTATATGTGAGAAGTGCATGGTGGGTTATGGTCAGTCAATTTCATTTATAGGGAAGGCATGAACCCCAGCACTGGGATCATTGATAGGCTGGTGATGATTATGATGATATTTATTTTGCTCTACTTAAAACTAAACATTAATTTGGTTGAAATATAATTTCAGATTGAAAATGAAATAGAAGTTTCCAATGACCCTTTTACAAAACATATCCAGTTTGAATTAGGAGACGAGCTACTTGTATCCTTATCTAATTCCACTCCTACAGTTGATAATGTTAATAAATCTTGGCCAGTTCTTGGTAATATTAAGATATCTATTCCTCAATCAATACAAACAGAGTCTAGAAAGTCAAAACCAAAGTTTTCTATTATTGAAGAGAAAGCTGTTGCACCAACAGGAACAGTGCCACATTTGTTTAGTGAAGTGGACTTTAAAAAATTACATATAAAATCACAGATTCATGGGAATATTGTGTCTGCAAATAAGAAGAACCTTATAAAACAAGATTTAGAACTAACTGACATATTTACACCATTACAAAAAGAATTATTATCTATTATCAACAATTACCAGGATTTATATTTCACTGATAGAAATTATAGTAATGCTGAAGAAATTCGCTATATTTATTGTCTTCATGTTGTTAATCATATGTTAAAAACAAGAACTAAAATTATACACCACAATGCAAAACTATCTAAAAAGTCTAATGTATCGGATGAATATAGAGACCAAGGATTAGTAAGGCCAAAAGTAAGTGACCAAACCTTTAATATTGTGAAATATTATATCAATAATTACTATTGTAATTACTTATGTAATTTACTTTAAATTGTTATTAATTACTTTACAGATATTGATTATGGTACCATTTAAGGATGCAGCATATAGAGTTGTAAAAATGTTGATGAATATTTTAGTTCCTGATGAAGCAGGCCAGATAGTTAATAAAAAAAGATTTGAAGAAGACTTTACTGGTGGAGAAATATTTATGCCCAAAAAGAATCCTAAACCAGAAGACTATGAGTTGCTATTCAGTGGAAATACTGAAGACACATTTCGTCTTGGTATGACAATAACAAAAAAAACATTAAAGGTAAAATCTTAAGTAAAATCTAATTATTAATAATTGAATAACAATAATAGCCATACTGAGCTGCTAATTTGCAAAATTATGAACAGTATAATGGATTAATTTATGAAGTTAATTATTAAAGACAGTTTAATATTAAGGGAATTGGATGATTAGATTTCATCTAATAACAGTCAATGGGAATCCATTAATGTTAAAAAAGCTGCTTTTGATAAAAATGTAAATGGGTGACTGATAAAACACTGGATTCTGTACTAAACATGTATAGATAGATATATATGAACTTTTAAAAAATGTACCAGTTTTAGTTCAGCTTTGGTTTTTGAGTATATACTCATTGAGTTTCGCCCATTTGCATTACTCCAGCACACAAGCTGTTGGTTGTCGTGTCAGTTACATATGAATTTCTACAATTTTTTGTTCTTTTTTTTAAATATGTGTTTTTTTTTTATGAGGAAGTAATTTAATAAAATAAAGAAAGCACTAAAAAAGTACCTCACTAGATGGCGACTATACCAAAAGTTGATTTTTGCAGGAAACAAATGGACCAAAGAGTTTCTATTCCTTTTAACTAACATATTATAAAAGTAATTTGATTTTGGGACCTAATGTTTTTGTTTAATACTTCCTCATTAAAATAGGGTAGTTTTGGTATTGAAAAACAAGTCACGAAAAAAAAACTTAAATTAACATCGTCATGAATATAGAGATTCTGATTTTGAGTCTTAAAAACGCACTCTTATCTTAAAATCGTTTATCGTATTATCTTAAAATTAAATTGCTAGATGGCGTTGTTCTTGTTTTATTAACATGTTTTAATGTTCTACCCTATGCATCTGTTTTGTGTAGATATCACAATGACGTCATGATACATATGGTGGACAGTGTTTTGGGTATAAAAAAAGTTTATATATTGAATTAATTTTAAGGCATTAAAACGTAATTATTTATTACGAAATAATTGTTTTATGGCTTTTTTAAATTAAAATAAACAGTTGCAAGTATTATTTCAAATAGTAGAATACCCTATTTTGTATGTGAATTATACAAATAAATAATCTAAATAATCTTGTTATAAATAAATAATTTATCCTTTATATCCTTTACTTTTACATGTGGATCAGCAAAGATATTTCTTTTTTGTTACAGCTCTATACCGATTTTTATTCTTCTGATATCATAGTCGCGTCACCATTAGGTTTGCGGATACTGGTAGGAGCAAAGGGCGAGGAGGAACGTGATTATGATTTTTTAGCTTCCATTGAGCTCCTTATAATGGATCAGGCAGATGTATTTTTAATGCAGAATTGGGATCATATGTTACATGTCCTTGATCATTTCCATTTGCAACCAAAAAAGACACATAACACTGATTTCTCTCGAGTCAGAATGTGGGCTGTTAATGGATGGTCAAAATATTACAGGTAAGTGTTGTAACAAAGTATGTCCTTTTAAAACTTTAAATTTCCGTCTGACTAAATACACTTGCTTGCAAAAAAATTGAACCTGAGTTGATCAGCAGTACTTTACATAATATAGCTTTGACAACTGTAAAAATGTTATTTGTTAAATTATAAAATATATGGTAATGGTTAGTCAAAACAGCATTTAAGTTGTTTTGTTGCTTATACACTTAATTGCATCTAATATATTATATAGCATTATTCTCATTACAGGCAAACACTAATTTTCTCATCAGTTCCTTTACCTGAGATTAAATCTGTTTTAAACAAAAAATGTCAAAATTATGCCGGCAAAGTAGTTGTAGAAAATCCCATAGAGATTGGCAGCATACAACAAATTTTACTGCAAGTGCCTCAAATATTTCACAGGTAATCTTAATTATTCAATTATTTACAATAAGGATAGAAAGTAATAAGAAATCACTACTATAACTATTCTTGATATTGGAAGATTTTTTTTATAGGTAAATCAGATAGCTTACCGCGCCATTTACTATCCACATCTGTATCGCTTCTAGATCCCCTCTAAATCACTATATTTCTGAAATGTGACGCTTTAGATTTTGTCTTAAAATGCCTAATTTATGTTAATGTTTGTGCCAACTATTGATTCAGATAAGTTGATCAAACTGTTCCAATTAATCACACTAAATATCTGTGAAATTAAATTTTAAATAAGCACAGCGCATCACAATAAGATTATATGTTATGTTTTTTTTTTTTCATTAACATTTATTACATTTCCTCTGTTAGAATCAAGTCAGATAGTCCTTTGGCGTCAGTGGAAGCAAGATTTGAATATTTCATAAAGGAGATTTTGCCAAAGCAACGGGATCCATTAATGAGTCACACTTTAATTTACGTTCCAAGTTATTTCGATTATGTACGAATAAGAAATTACTTCAAAAAAGAGGATATTGGATTCGTACAAATATGCGAATATTCGAAGGTATGCTTTTAAAATTAAACGATTTTCTAAATTTTATCTGACAATAGACCCTAATATTATATTATTATTCCAGGACTCTAAAATAGCACGTGCACGTGATATGTTCTTCCATACAGAAGCGCACTTTTTGCTTTATTCTGAGAGAGTACATTTCTTTAGGAGATTTAGAATTAAAGGCATCCGTCATATAATATTTTACCAACCACCAACATATCCACATTTTTATTCTGAAATTTGTAATCTCATGCAGGTGCGTATTTGAAATTATTTATTGCACTTGATATTGTTATTATTTATTAAATAATGTTGCCGATTCTTTTGTACCATTTATGAAAGTAAACTAATCTAATTTGTATAAATACAGGTGGATTTTTGGGACAGAACAGTGAAGGCAGATACCATTAAAATTAAATTTAGCCTTGTGAAATGAATGTGTCACATCAGTTATATCTTAAGATAACTTTTAATAGTTCAGATACTTGCTCTTTGCTTGCCGTCTTAAGCTTCACCTCAGTTGTCAAATTAATTTTCTTCAATATGATAATTATAATAAAAAAAAAATATAATCCAGAAATAAAAGCACAATCAAAACTAAAATTAGCTTCTATAAGCATTCTGAAATCGCTAATCAATTTTCCCTTTCCTTTTATTATTCTCTTCCATAGGTTGCCTGGAAGAGATTGCTGTTTAGCAATAAGGCCGCCTTTTGTGTACTTTGTATTGTTTTACTGTGTAATTTCTTTCTGTTTTCTTGTCTGTATGTGTGCAATAAAGATTATATTATTATTATTATTATTAAATAAAAAAAATCAATTACGGTGTGTAAGTATTTTTTATTTATTGCAATAAAGATAAAACGTGACGCCCCACGTTACATTGCAGGAGTCTAACCAGAACAAGTATGGCGGCAGTGAATGTAACATGAGTGTGACTGTGCTGTACAGTTTGTACGACGTACAGCGCGTTGCTGGAGTGCTGGGGGCAGCGCGAGTCGCCCGCGCGCTGCAAGCCGACCAACACGTGCAGGTCTACATGACTGGCGATTGAATATATATATATTTCTGTATATATTAATATAACTGTTCAATAAAATTTAAGAAAAGAAACGGTTTTTTATGTACTTTGATATTCCTTATTTATTTGCTGTAATCAACCGGCTGAAGCTTACATTTGTGGATTTTTAAAAACTTGCTTGCATCGCTAAAATTATTAATTTAAAAGTGTACAGGTAATGATAAGATTCTTATAAATATAACTTCAAATAACCAATGAGGAAGTATTTAAAAAAAGAAGAAGATTACAAAAATCAGATGTCGCCACGGTACGTTTTTGATTTCTCCATGTCAACCCTTCCGGTTTTCTTTCATGTTTAAAAGTAAATCACTGGATTTTGAGTAATTGATTATTATTCAAATACTCGAATCGATTAACAATTAAACGGTTTTTACTATAATTGACATTTTTAATAATCATATAGTTCACCAAACTAGTGAAATATAAATAGCCTATAACAGCATTTGAATTATCTTCTTCTTCAGCGTGTAGTTGCCCAACGTTGGGCATACGCTTCTCCAATCTGTTTCCAAACAGTTCTTTTTTCCGCTTCCCTTCCCCCTTCCAGAATTTCAGTCGGACCATTTAAATGTAATCTGTTGTTTATTTTGTGACATGGTACATTGATGTTATCTTTTTGTAACATCGACATTCCTATGCGAGAGTAGGTATTTTGAACTTACCGCATTTTTTTTTGTATTTTTCAATAATATTATAAAGACGAAAACGAAATAACGTAGAAAACATTTACATAGACTTTATTCTAAACTAATAATGATCGTATAGAATGGCGGTGGCTGCAGTTAACAATAAAAAGCTCCCAAAGCACCTATCTCAGGATGACAGGGATCAAGTAAACCTTTTAAGCAATTTTCATTAAGAATAAAAAGCTATTAAAATATTAATATTTTTTAATAGGTGCTAAAAATTATTTTTTACTTAACTAATTTTATTCGTTTATGTTATCAATAAGTAAGTCCAGTGGCGTAACTACAGCGTGGCAAATCAGCAAAATGCCACAGAGCCCCCAGCTGAAAGGGGCCCCCGGTCAGAGAAGACTCTTTACTCCTGACATTTATTATTACACAATTAGTAACAAAACGAAATAGAATGTCAGATGAATTTGCCTCAGACGGTATAGTTACGCCACTGAGTAAGTCAATAATTATATAGTTTTGTATTAACTATTATAATAACTATCTTAGTGCTTCTGATCGAAGGTAGCTAATTGCTTACGTAAAAAAAACATTGAGATTTATACAATTCTGACGACACATTACAAAAATACGAGTTTTCATAAGAGGACAACCTTATCGCATCAGTGAAGCAGAGGTTTTTTATTTATATCTACAAATGACTTATATTATAAAATAAGTAGACATTATGTATGTTTGCTTTGATTGTTTACATTTAGGTATTTATAATTAATAGTCTATGCTAGTTATTAATCTAATTATTTCATTATGATGTATTAATTAAGCCTAATATCTGGTGTTTTGTATTCAGACTTCCGATAAACTCGGACTTAAAGATATTAGAGATGATGACTGATTGAAATTGTATATTGTTCCAATAAACAAATCATTTTATTGTTGATCGAAGACCACGATCACGATCAGGGTTATCCAAACCAGTCACGAACCGGGGCAATCATTTTTAATCTAAACCAATTCGAGAAACGAATATAAGTGGGTAGGTTTATTCTTATTCACAGCAGGATGAACTGCTAAAATACCAGTTAATTAAGATTTTAACAAAAGGTTTTCTGATAGTCCTTATTTGGAGCCAAATCGCATCACAATCGTTATTTATTGTAACTGCCGAGAAGATATTCGAAGGGCAAGGTTAATTTGAAACAAAAATGTAGATAAAATTACATAAAGTTATACAGATCTGCCTTAGTTGCAATGTATATCGGTCACGATTGCGTTTGAGAGTAAGGGGGCAGATATAGATAGAGATCAGAGACCAGAGAGTGAAAATAACCGGTATTGCGAGCAGAAACAGTTTTGGTTTGGTCTTTGATGCGAGCCGAAATAATTTCGATTCTAAATACCTAACCGAAACCTTAATAGAAACCCTCTTTAAAATGAATGAAGTTTCAAACGAGTTAATTAATGATGATATGTTTCTTGATCCCTGTTATGAAATATTAATTTATTTCTAAGTACTGAGAGTAAGTGAGCACAACATCAACTTCAGTAAGCGCGTGTTCACATTGCGATATTTCATCAGTTTATTTTTCACGGTCGAAATTAAGCCTCGTTTTCCGTGCAACGCAACCGAACTCCTTGGATATAATTTATGTTGTGCAGTCGAAAATCATACGTCAACCGCAACACGCAAATAATCATTTTGTAATTGTTATTATCAAAATCTTTATTGTTTTATTTAGGACATTATACTGTAAATGGACTCAAGTGTTTAATTTATATCATTTTTCAATATAGCCAGAACTGTTCTGCACTTTTATGGTCCTTCGAGCCGGATAGTATCCTTTTATAATGTTCAAACACTTTATAATGTTCATTTGCTAATTTATTTTCGCCAGTATGGATAGTTCGCGCCAGACCCCTACGCAAATAAGTGTTCAACTTGTTTGTTCAAATAAAATAAAAGGACACAAACCAAATTAGTGACAAATTTTCAAATACCCGTACCAAATATGTAGTGAACACTTATATGGACAAATAAGTGCGGAGTCCGGCTAAATCCGCGAGGTGAAATATCACGATGCAGATGCGCACTGTTGCGATGAAACATTTTTATGTAGAAGTATTTGTTAAATAATACAGTTCGATGCTGGAAAGCAAACACGTAGTAACCTGCAAAACCAAAATTGTTCTTTAGAGCAGAAAACCTTTTTTTTTCGATAATACGTGTTTGCTTTCCAGCGTCGAGTTACACATTTGGGCGTCTGTGACTCGTTGGGATCATATGTCCCAAAGCTCAATCGCAGTATTTAAAAAGTCAATAGCAAATCTTGTATTTCCTTTTTGTTTTATTATATATACTTATAAATCAATTGCTCTTCATTTGTCTTGCTAATACTCGATAACGGCTGGATCGATTAGGCTGATTTTGCTTTTGAAATATTTGTCATATTCGTATCAGAATAACATCTTAACGACTTACATTTTGCCAATATTATTATATATTTGTTACTATTGATGTGTGGGGAAGACATTGCACTAATAATATTAGACTTTACGTAGATAATACAATGGTAAAATGCAAAAAAAGTTGAGGTTCTATTGATATGCGATTATTACCCAAAAATTAGCGGAATTAACCTGCTGGACCAGGGTTGTTTCTGATGCAAGTTTTTCCTATGTCAGCGAATGCCGATGCTGATATTAATAAATTACTTAAATTAAATATATACCACAAAATTATAAGCAAATGTGGTATGTTATTTTGAATAAAACTAACTTATATTAAGTTCTAACTTATATGATGTAAGGGGTTTTTTAAATATACTAACTAGCTTTCGCCAGCGGCTTCGCCCGCGTGGATCCTAGGGAAATGTTTAGTGGGATAAAAAGTATCCTATTATCTAAGTCAGCTAATACCCTATCTGTATACCTCAATTTCATCAAAATCCATTCAATAGTTTCGGCGTGATTAACGGACAAACATCCAAACATCTAAACATCCAAACAAAGAAACTTTCACATTTATGATAATTATTATAATAGATTTATTTGTTTGTTCGCATTGCATAAATTGCATAAGCTCCGAAACTACTAGACCGATTTTAAAAATTCTTTCACCTACGGGAAGCTATAACATACGCCGGTGACATAACCTATTATTGGCGACTGGACAGTTATAAATATGTTAGAAATGGTAATGGTATGAACTAATGTGTAAATAATAATTATGTGGTGTTTTTTGTTTTTTAAATTAATTTAAGTATATTTACTTTGTAGCAGAATTAACTTACGACTCGAATCGGTGAACTACAAGAACCGAAGCGCCAGGGCCATGACGGAGCATCGTGTGACGTCACATTTCAATAAAATAAACGTAGGTAAACGTCTTTGTTGCGAGTGCAACGTACTAAAATTACTCATATTTATTGAATTGTAACGCCACTACTCGAAATGAAACGTGACTGATTGTTTACGCGGGACAATTTAAATTAATTAATAGATGAAAATAATGTACTTCTTCTTTTTTAATGACACATTTGGGGAAAAATCAATTTGATTGTGGTTTAATATGAACATGATCATAAAGGTTAAAAATACTTTTTCCAAAACAATCTACCTGACGGACAGTCAAACAAAAATTATCCACCATCCATATTGACATTGATAGTCTCAAGCAAATTAGGTTGACAAACGAGCTAAAGAGTGAGCTCGTGCCAGCGTTTTTTTAAATTTCCCCACGTGAGTTGCGCTCATTCTTGCCATCAACGAACGCGTTACGACCTGAATGTCAGCATTAAAATCAGCATCGATTGCTGGCGATGCAGATCCTGATATTTGCAAGGATGTTTGTCCTGATATTCGCAACAACCCTGAGACTACGACAAACATTCCCAAATCAGCTGAATAGATTCAGCCGTACTCGAGTATTAGAAAGACATTGTTTTACGAAAACATTACCAAAATTGGCTTGCAGATAATGTTTAAACGGTGGGAGGTGATACGAAGGTCATCTAGTTAATTACATTTAATTTTAGTTTAATACATAATTTCTACCCGAATCATCATCCCCTTTATATCATACTATACATAACGACTTAAACATTATAAATTTAGATGTAGTGCAAAATGCTTTTTTAATGTACAAAGGTTTCTGTTATGGTCATGTAATTTTTCCAGTGATGTTGTGAATTTCTTCATTATTAGAAGCATTGGGTGTTTGTATACTATTATCCAGTTCGTCAGAGAAGTTAGCGAGCTGTGAAAACTTGCTAGTGTCGTTGCCAATCCAGAAACTGTCGTCAGTCATGTTTCCTAGGGCTTGTTGAGTGACGTTCTCGCTCACTGTGCTATTGTTTCCTCCTGCGAACAAATAAAAAAAACTTATATAAAATCGATTTTTTTTCTACCATTGTTTATTTAGAAGAACGATCTCTGGACGCTGGGTTGCATTTTATGGGAATAAGGTGACATGCAACTATTATTTGTATTGACAATCACCAGCTCGTTAATGCACTGGAGCTTTTCTATAACCAGAAGTAGTTGGGGAGAACGGGCCCTAAATTAACCACGCGGGCGCATTGCGGTCGGTCAGTTAGTAGATGTTATCGACTGGATATGCAGCCGGGACTAATGGCTTAATAAAAACACGGAGAAGTTAATAAATTTTTGGTCACCCATCCTATGACCGACCCTTGAAAAAGTTGCTTAACCACTGCATCACAGACCGAGTATGCTAAACGCAGTAACCTGTGTTATAAGATAGAAATCTGCTCTATATATTCTATTGAAATTGAAACATTAACAATCAAGTAGTAAAAGAGCTTGTGACAACGTTCAAAAGATTTTAACAAATGTTAAAGTGTCTTATTTTGAATTTAAAAAAAGTAGATTAAACTGCCAGGACTCGCGGGCAAAGGATTCTGTATAAATAACAAGTTTTAAAAACTATTGATTACTTTATTTTCATTTTAGTCCCAGCAAAGATTGGAGCAGTTTCAATTTTATGCGGTCAAAATTATGAAACGATTAAGATATTATCAAATGATATGTACTTCTAGCAAGTAATATTTAAGTAGTTACATTATTTTAATGTAATATTTTGTAGGTAGGAAGAGGTTTTGAATGCTTGAGATAGCGGTAGAGCACACGCGCACGGCAGGCAGTCTCTGTCGCGTGTTTGTGATTTACATATAGCTTGTTTTTATTTTATTTTGTTCGTATAACAATCGTGAAAGAGAGTGTGAGAGAACTCCGAGAGGGTATCGAATGGATATCGAAGGTATACATACGCTCGAGGCAGCTCTATGATATTGCCGGAGAACGAAGCAACGCCAAGCCAATAGAGGAAGGTATTAACTCTAAAGATAGAAGGAAGTAAAAGTTAAAAGTTATAAAGAAGACAATAATATATATCCAATATAATATAATGAGATAGCTAGCGTAAGTCAAGTAGTAAGTATCGTGTTTTGAGAGTAAGAATGGTTTATCTGAAACGGACAGGACAGGTAGAAATGTAAACTGGCGTTTCCACGTTAATCTCAGGCAAGACTCGCGAAGGTGTGAAAGGTCTTATGGTTGCAGGCAAATATTTCTAGTAGTATACTTATAAGTTTTTAGCTGTAGGGATTCTGAATTCAATATGGGGGACTAGTATGGTTAATAAGTACTCTCACAATATAGACCTACAAAATGAAAGGGTTTGTTGACAATATTACGTTATATAAATATTTCTTGTATTCTAAATAAAAAGAAAAGGTTGCCTCCATAGTTAATTATTAACAAAATACTTAAAACTAAATAGAAAATAAAAAACCAGTCTTTAAAAACACACTAAAAAGAAAAAATATATATAAATCTGTATATAAACCTATCATTTTGCTTATACTAATTGAAGATAAATACATAGAATATTTTGGAACTATAGCATCGAACGTAACTATGCGAGTTAAGGATTCTTTTGACCCTAGCACAGGGTTAACTTTAAAGTAGGTACCTTAAGATTCAAGAGGATTGATATCAATCGCGACAGTTATACCTAGTACAAACTATTAAGAGCGTAGGAAATAGGAACAAATTACGTACTAGTTCTATTTCTGGCATTTCTGCCGAAATCGTTTTGTAATTTATATCTTATAAACATGATCAGTGAATAGCCGACGCTGTGTATTGTAGCTGTAGCCTTGTGTTAGCTTTGGCACTATATTTAGAGTTAGTGGTGCAGCGCTTGCTCGGCTCTAACACTCCAACGATTCACTTACGACTCAAGTGCTTGGCATTGGTTAAAGAAAGCTATTCCGAACTCACTGTGACGGCTATTTAAAATTGAATATCATTCGAGTTTAGAATAATAAAGTCACAAAAGGTTTTAATATAATAACTTTTGACCAGTAAGTAACAATTATTCAATATTAAAGTACGAAATAAATGTATTATAACAAATAGTAAAACACTATATTATAAAAAAATAAAAATAATTGCGCGCGAAAAGCGTCAAATCATTACGTTATTGTCATTGTCATTGGTGTGCCTGGTTCGCCATTTGTTCTATTTTTACGTGCAAAGAAGTATAAATAAATAAATTAGGATATTTATCATGTTTCTGTAAATATTTTTTCTACTTTCCTCGTAGATTTGGAAAATTTTCAATAAATCATGAATTATTATGAATAACGCTTTATTTGAGTTAGTATATATTATCACGAATACATACTTGAAACGATACATAAAGTTTCACTGACTTCAAACTTTTAAAAAGTATTAAATAAAACTAATTCAAAAGCGACTTATTCAAGAAAATCCATTTTCTTCGATAGCTTTTGAGACAAGTATTATTATTACTTATTAGAGCGTGAAGTCGATTCTAGTGATATTGTCATTTTTTATATAACATGTAACACCAAAAATATTATAATAAATACTGGCTTTCCGCGGGCGGTTTCTCTCGTATGGTTTCTAGGGAACTGTTTATTTAGATATCTATTCATATCATGACACGATGAAATGGATATAATTTCAATGACAAATTGAATTTTAAACAGTCGTTACTATGGTAATGTTTTCTTTCCCTATTCAAACTTCCACTCCCATTTTGTTTTTCGGGATAAAATATAGCTTGTGTTCGCCGCATATGATGTGGCTTTACGTAGGTGAAAGAATTCTTAAAATCGATCGAGTTTCGGAGCCTATTCTTTGCAAACAAACAAAGCTTTCCTTTTTATAATTTTAGTATATCTTTACAAATAAAAATATTCAACATAGTGAAAGTCTTAGAAAAGAAGATTTTGTTTATTTGCTCGACATAATTTTTGCAATATGTAATTCTATACTCATAAAGAAGAAAGATTTGATTGCTTGTTTGTTTGCATTGGATAGGCTCCGAAATTATCAGACCGATTTATAAGTCTTACATCTACAGGAAGTTACATAATACATAGGCTATAAAATATAAAAATATACATACTCCTTGAAAATAGAAAATCCTCCTTTCAGATTTTGAATGAATTCAAAATATGCAATCTTTTGTTTTTAGTTGAGATACATGAAATACAATACATAGCATCTAAACATTTAGGTGATGTATGGTGAAAAGGGTATTTTGTTTTATTATAAAAGGAAAACAAACGATCACCTCGCCTCGGTCCATTAAGCTGTCGAATAAAAAAAAAGAATTTTGAAAAAGAGTCAACAATTGGCGGGAATATCGGTGAACATAGATTAAAAACATACATTGCCGTCAAACATATATAATCTTCTCCTTATGTATTTTGAAGACGGTTAAAAATTACTTTAGCTACATTGTACAGGCAAATAATAAAGGTAATACGAAGCTTTCGATCTATATACCTACTAATAATAAAGCTAATAACTATCAATCTATCGCATTCAGATCCTTTTCTTACAATCTAATATAATGCATCGCGAAAATTTAAAAGTTTTATTTTTTACCGATTTTTACCAAATAAAGTAGCTTTAATTTTTAATTTTGTGGTATTTCCCATAACATAATTTAATGGGGAATCATTAACCTAGCGAAATAATACAATGCCACAATTACCTGTTTTTGCTAGACGACGCTACTGTGTTTTTAAAACTAGTGTGTTTGTTTTACTTAGAACTGATATTTGTAATTTTAACACAAAATTTCCTAATAAAATACATTTACCATTTATTAGAACCGACTCTTATAAGAGAAACTTATATGTGATATCAATAAAGATATTTAAAAATAATATACTGGATGAACTAAAATTGTTGTCATAAATTTATATAAATCTCGTTTGAAAACATGAAGAGTTGATTAATGTTTTTATTCAGTTAATGAGTTTTTAAATAAAAGATATTATGTATTTGGAACACTTCAATTGAATGACATATAATAGTTAATAACTTAACACCTACAAATTATTTCAATCATTGCATATTGTTTAACAGTAGAATATGAGATACTTATATTATTTTCTTTAATTTAGTAGTTGGTTAGAGTGCCTATGTTTCCATAATCTTTGAGACGTTTTTAAATAAGGATTATAAGTATTTTTTGTGCCTTAATAACGTGATAACTGTAAATAGTTTTTTTTTAAATAAATATATGTGTTTTATTTGCACAGTAATTAGCCTAACAAACCGGCCAAATGTGAATCAACTCGTGCATTACCCCTAATGGATTAAACTAAATATAATAAAATACAAATGGATTAAAATAAATATTTAAGGGGTCTCCAATACTACAAACGTGTTTTTTTTTTCGATTTCAGGACGGAAGGGGTTCCGTCCTGAAATCGAAAAAAAAAACACGTTTGTAGTATTGGAGACCCCTTAAATATTTATTTTAATCCATTTGTAGCGGCAACAGAACTACATAATCTGTGGAAAATTCAACTGTTTATCTATCACGGTTCATGACATACAGCCCGGCCACAGCAAAAAAACAAGGTTTGTTGTATGGTAGCCCCCTTTAATATGTATTTTGTTCTATTGTTGTAGAAGCGGCTACAGAAATACTACATCTGTGAAAAATGTAACTGTCCAATTTTCACGGTTCATGATATACAGCCTAGTGAAAGACAGACAGACAGCGAAGTCTTAGTAATAGGGTTGTCGTTTTACCCTTTGAGTACGAAATCTTAAAAGTTAAAGATCCTGCCGAAAGTGACTATTCCACGCGGACGAAGTCGCGGGCACAGCGAGTTGGTTATAAAACTATTTTTGCAGCTAAATTAATTTAGTTCTTAATTAAAAAAAAAACAATGAGGCCCTTCTTTATTAATGATGCCTTGTCTATAAGGTATGCCAGATCTTTTGCATTTGGGAGTCATTATTAGGTATACCTATCAGCAATGTTTAACTATATATTTTTTTTATCATGAATAAACCTATAACTATAGAACAATATATTATATAAAATACCTAATCATAGCTATGGAGTAACGCAACTTGTTAACTTCCTACGGATGTTTACAAGCTGTGATTTATTATCTTTCATTGTTATCTTCTGCAACTTTTATTATACTTACGACTGTTTGTAAGTCATGTCAGTAACTGATTGCTTGCGATGAGATTGTTAACTCATTGTTTTGAAAAGTTCCTTACCTTAATGTGTATTACTTTTTGATTTCGTATTATCTTATTTTTATAACGTATCGATATTTTATTTTAATAGATATTTAATACCTTTTAATAGATATAACAAAAATGGTCGTTAATTTAGAACTTAGAATTAAATCCATAACTGTAAACACGGTTTTTAACTAAATATAATAATAGTTTTCGTTTCAAAAAGCAAAAACGAATTCTTTATATAAGTCACTGTGTTCTCTGTCTGTACGTTTGTTACAATCGAATTTCTCGGAAACTGACCAATTGAATTGAAATTCGTTACCTACACTTACTTAATGAATGTCCGTGACGCAAGTAAACATGGTGGTTTGCGGCTATTTCAAGAGTACAGTTAGCAAAATTTTTAAAGTTTTGAAAGTACGGACAGCAGACCCTTTTTTGGCCACTGGCCACCTTTTGGCCATTTTAGACTTGAAGGTGTTCTAATTAATGCATAAGTAAATATACTACTTTACCGTGTACGATCTTCAAAATGTTGAAGTTTTGCCATTATTCAACGTTTTGCAAAGTTCACATCTTCGTAACTTATAAAACGGCCGAACCAGTTCGTAATCTTGGCCATAACCGAGTCTTCGGTCCTATATTACGTGTTCCGGGCAATCTGAATCTGTATAATACAATACAATACAGAATAAACATATAAACCTAGGTATACTATACTAATATTTAGGGAATGTATTTTTAAATTAAGCAAAGTGGTATAGCATATTTTTGCCATTTAAGTAGGTATACTAGTAACAAAGATTTCAAGATGTCGGTATATGTCTAACGTCTAACTCTGTAGTTACGACTCTAGCTACTTTGTTTAGCTTGTTGGTATTTTTTAATGTATATGTTTCTATTTTTACTTAAAGCTATGGCTAGAATCATAACTATAGACTTTGAGCGGTTGCACGACGCACATATTATTTTAAACCATTAAAATAGCGGATTGAGAGATCTTCCTTTTTTTTAAATAAGATGATTTTCATTTTTAATCAACAAACGAAATTAAAATCTTTGATTATATCGTGTTTTGCTACCAGTTTTTCATCTTACAATCTAACCAAATGATTTATCTACACAGAACGATCTTCATATTATATTTCTTTTTGTATAAAGTATAAATAGTATACCATCAGTGCCAGCAGCTATGACTTACAAACTTTTGTTCGCATAATACCATAATACACTCGTAAGTTGTGTTAAAAATATTAGTATTATCTATGTAGACATCATAAAAGATGAATCAGACGTTTGATGTTGGCACAAAAACCTAATATTCCATCATCATAATGTCAATAGTAATAGCGTAATACTTACTGTATCTACGTAAATAAATCAATGAACGAAAACGCGAATAATATTCGGATAAGTTGTGTGATTTGTTTGCAGCTGGTACCTATAGATATCTAACTTTCAGTGTATATTTAAATATGCATTAAACTAGAATGATTTATCTACAGAAGACAAAGTTTAATACGTATGTAGAGTCATATTACATGTATAATTCATATTTATAGGTTTCTATATTCTATGGATCTATTTAATTCATGCAAGTGGTTTTCGTTATCGTGACATGCTAGTAAAGCAGTGTATTTATTATTCCAGTTTATGTATTGGGCTATATAACACACACAGTGAAACATGTTACCTACTGACGTATGTGACTTTGACGTACTGAGATTTTTTATTTAAGTAGATAACATATTACAAGCAATGTCCGTGGTTTCGTTCGCGTAGAATTATAATTTAGAAAAAGTAGATTCGATAAAATATCGTCATAAATTAATCGACAAGTTCCGGAAAATGCTTCTACGTCTATAATTACAAATATTACTTCTTTATAATATTAGTAGCTATAGAAATTCTTAGTGAAATTTTAAAGTCGATAAAATTGGAAGTAGTGAATTAAATAGATACTTAACTATTTAATTTAAAGCCAAGTGAGTGTGAGCAGCTTTGTAAGTAATTTTAGTCATAAAATTACAAATAGGTAACACGTGGATTAGTAACACATGTATAAAAGGGCAGGTAAGTGAGTAAGGTAAGCGTGTCGGTGTTGTGACCTACCGGTGTAGGGCATAAAGCATGTAGGCATTGGTGTGGTGCTGGTTTGCTTCTCTACTGTGTGAGCCACCTTTCGTTGCGCATATTGCGCGTCCTTTGGTTCCCAGAAGAACACGTAGTAGAGGGAGAGCATGATTGCGGCGAGGGAGACGCAGAACACGTAAATGATGACAGTGAGGACCCTCACACTCTTCTTGTCACGTTTCCGTTCGTAGAGCGCGTCCAGGACGAGTTCGTGGCCTCCCCCTGTGGTGGCCAGCCGCACAGAGCCGCCGCACGAGCGCACGCTCCCCGAAGCGCCAGACCTGCCCGACATGGTTCTCGCCTTCCAGCACAATGCAGTGCTCCAGTGTCGGCGACCCAGGTAACTGGGGCACGCTTATTGATATGCCCCAGTTGAGGCGATGCGCCGCGGTCGAGTCGCGCGGGGTCACGCCGCCGGTGTCTGCCGCTTGACACCTTCTGATGCGAACTGCTGCCACATTATAATAGCAGCCGCATCGGTCTTCATTTGTTTATCCTTTAATCTCACGTTCGCACCATGCCGAGCTATTCCAGTTGCTCTGACGTAGCGGTCCGATCGTGATTCGTCTGTCATGAATTTTCATTGTTTCAGTTTCATTGAGTGTAATTACTTACGAAACAGTGTTTATCATTAAACTTTAGCACACACATGCTTCGTTTCGTATGTTTAAAATAACACTTTATAATTTGATCGAAACACAAAATATATCACTTGTTTGAGAAGTTGAGTCGATTTGTGAGGGTCTTTATTTGCACTGGCGTACTCGTGGATAACAATTTGCTAACAAAGTTAATAGAGTAGAGGATTGTGCGTTATTGTGACAGCAATTATTGGACGGGTGACGGGCGGGCGGCGCCGCCTGCTACGCCTGGCCGCTGGAGGCGCGCGCCGCGCCGCCGCCGCTCATTCTGCGTCCAACACTCCTAACGCAAATCAATAGAGATATCTCGCAATTTTCCTTAATATTTTGCATTTGCTTGTATTTGGAGCGGTAAATGGTATAAATTTATCCAGCAAAATATGCAAATATACAGTAAAGGTTTCTGTTACCTACGTTGAATTAATTGTCTAAGTTACCTACAATTTTAGTAGCTTATTACTAGTGTTCAATAAAATAGCTCTATTGAGTTAGATCTGTATTTGAAGTTTCCATCATATTATTTTCCAAAATAAAGATTTTAACAAAATGGGGACAGATGACACTCAATAGTAAATGAAAAAGTACATACAGGAATGTAATTAAATTAGTGACGTTTTGGAGGATTAATAGATTGCATTCTATATTACTAGTTTTGAAATGAGAGAGCCTGTACTTTGGAATGATTCTGCGTATTTATGTTTATTACAAGGCTCTTCTAATGGTGCATTTTGAACAGGAAAGCGAATCGTTCAAAAAAGTTTTCTGGTAAATATAATTAACGTTTATTGATACTACTACATATATTTATTTTATTAAAAATCAATAAATACGTTATTGTAAAGTTCTCACATTAATTTTTCACTATTATAAAAGAATTCACAGCGTAGGGATGACGTCAGGTAGATTGTTGAAAAATATTAAACACGTATTGTTTTTTTTTTAATCATTAAATTACGGCGATACATTGCTTTTGAATGTCACATGACATCACGTTATAGTAAATTTTCTACAAAACTGCGGGCAACTTTAATGCTTGTTATCTAAGCTGTTTCTTGTTAAATTGAAGTGAAAATAAATACATATCTAATATTTTTCTATCATTTGACTGACGGACTAAATGGAATTTCTTTTTTTTCTACCCAGTCGTCATTCCCATTATGAGAAGAAATGGATTAAATAGCGCATACAAGAGGAAACTTTTCTTTTCTGTAGAAATTTTGTGTGAAGATTTAATTAACGGCTGCCGACTCGATCACGATTTTATGGGTTTCATCCCAAGGTGGCTGTGACCACAACCTTTCTGAGCTCTAAATTTGCCCCTGTCTGACCGCCAGCAGAAAAGTATCAGCAACTTAGGGGTTTTAGTTGATAGGATAGGCCTTCGACGTCAGAAGAGAATGAGTTTCACAACCACTTGTTTAAAGCATTCCCCATCATTTTCGAAAAAAAACATAACAATAATGATAAGTTGATTCCCTTTAATCGTATCAAATAATTACCATAACTTTCATATTATGCTTTCATTGTAATTAAATAATAAATCAAATTAATTATAACTTATCTTTTGGTACAATTAATCTATAACTAGGCTAGCCATAACCGTTCTGTTACAAAGAAAATATCCGATAATTTGAAAAAGATATGTTGATGTATTAAACTAGTTATTCAAAGTGTCCCCTCCTTAGCTTTAAAGCACGCTTTTACACGGTCGGGCCATTCGACGATGGATTTACGAACGGTTTCCATTGGAAACTTGGTCACTGCTGCCTCCAAAGATTTCTCGAGCGACTCAATATTTGGGTGATGCTTAGAGCAGGCCATGTCCTCTAGCATAGACTTTATAGCAATTTATAGTCCAAAGTGTTTAAGTCCGGGTTAGCCGAAGGCCAATCATCAGCCTTTATGAAGTTCCTGGTTTGTTCGAATAGACCGCCGTCTGCCGGATCTCTCACGGTCATCAACAGACATGGTTTCAGTGTGCCTTTGGATAGTACGATGCATAAACATTCGGCTAATCGTTAGCTTTTTCAGTGTATCAAAAATGTCGGATGTACTACTTTGTACAGTGCAATTACTGCAATCTTATTCTCTTTAGTGCCCCACTCCATTTCCAAAACAAATAATTTCTAAACAAAAAACATACTCGTACAATAATGACGGGATTTATCATAGAACCCTTATGTTTAAATTCAAATTAACGTTTTTTTTTAATGTATGTAAACAGCCAGTAACAGAATTTATGTTTCTTCGTTTGATTGAAAGCGGTAATCTCGAGAATTACTGATTCATGTTGCTTTTCTATAAAATTTCAATAGTTGTTAATTAAAATGTAAAATTTTGAAAAAATTGTTTATTTATACCAATTTTATAAAGAAGAAAGCTTTGATTGACTGTTTGTTTGTATGTTTGCAATGAATAGGCTCTGAAACAATTGGTCCGATTTTAAAAATTCTTTCACCCATGGGAAGCTACATCATACAAGGGTTACATGGCTTAATTTATGTGGTGAAGTCGCGGGAGAACATATAGCTTTTCATATAATTCAGCGGGGTGAGGGTAACGTTATACTACGCCTCCTTCTATGTTAGCCATCTATCGATCAGTAGCGAAATCGTTGCAACAGGAACATTATATTATTAAGTGAATCCGTCGATGTTTGTGATTGCAGGAGTCCAAATTGTATGTAAGAAGTAACAAATGGTACTTATGACCAAAGAGTTCAAGATATGGCAGGCAACTAATAAAGAGCGATAAAACGGAAAAAATAAGCAGACAATCTTCTGAAAGATTTTTACTTAAGCCTTAAAAAAACTTTATGCTATGGATTTCGTTCGTCTGATTGACTCAGGCAACGAGTTTCACACGTGACCTAATGTATATATTATTGTCATTAGAATTAACTAGATGAAAGCGATTAAATATTTTATACCGATTAAACAGTGTATAGTAGAGAAGAGATAGCATGTGCATATCCCTATGACGTTAACGAAGATGTCACGAGAATGTTTTTGAGTTTCGTAGATCAGAAGTTCCTTACGAAATTGATTAAAAATTAGGTCAAATTGTATTAGCCAAATATCAACATATAGGTTAGAGCCGTCCAAGTTTGACTAAGATCAAGATTAGGATATCATGCTTCAGTATAATCAAGAGGGGCAAGAGAAATGAAAGAGGAAATGTAATTTTAATGTTACAACCTGAATCAGCAGCATATCAGTACTGCGGGCCCTGGTTGTTGCTCAAACTGAGTCGAATTCAATTCTGTACTCTGACATTACATAGCAAACACAATATCACTATGCATATGTTGTTGTGTGGTGCTACAAAAATAAATTAGCTCTCTTTCTTTCTTTAGTAGTGGGCAAAATGCAGCAATCATCGTCTCATCATGATTTTGCTACTTGCGCGCACCAGAAGAAAATACTGTCAAGAATAATACCCACATTTTTAGTGTAAAGATTTAGTGCTAAGGCACACAAAATCCATCAAATGTGATTTGAAGTATATAATAGTGACATATAATAGTATATAATATTGTGCAGTGCATCGTACCATCGCTACGTTCATCTTGTTACTAAGTTTTTTGTCTCTGATCTTAAATGTTATATTTGTTTTTTCTTTATCGTAATTTTAAATGGCACTAAGCAATTTATAAAAGAAGAAGAAACTATTGGCACGTACTTACATCAAAAATTCGCTTTGAATGTCAGTTTGTTTTAGCATATAGTAAGATATTGAAACGTGAATCTACCGTTTTATGTCTTAATCTCTGTACGTGATAAGCCATAGAGTCATAGGTATATTTCATATGCCTATGACTATGAACTATAAATATTTCATATTATCTGCAAAAATATATTAAGTATTATTTTTACTAATATTTAGTGATGATCATGTAATCTGTGTATTTGCCTAAAACTTAAAATCTAAGGTTAATATATTCGAGTTTATTCCTGCATTTCTATTTTGAAACCACGAATATTCTACTACAAGCACGTCTCTGGGGTATGTGATTAAGCCATAATTAGTCTGCCAATAAAAAAAGGAACGTCGATATCCTACCTGTAATCTGTAAAATAGCTAAAACGCTTAGGTATCGTATGGAATATTTTTTGTTTTGCGCTTTGCCTAAGTATTCTATACAATACCAAATATATGCAGCAGCTGGTATTGGTTGCTTGATCTCAATCTAGCCCAAGGGTAAAATTGAGATCTACGGTGGGACGAGCTTGAATAAAAGGAACCTATTCACTGTTACCTTAACTAGGTCTGCACTTGCCGGACCCGCCTTGCAGGATACCGGACTGATCCATCCGCGTGAGGTGAACCGCAGCGGATTTTATTAGGTAGGCCAACCGCACTAACCTGCCCTTCTCAGGGCGGTGTGTTTGGAGAGCCCTGATTTGAGGCTTAAGGTACATTTCCTTTGCGTTATCAAAATTGCGTTATGGTGCGGGGTTGAAGAGCCCTAGATAAGGCTTAAGATTGCATTTCCCCTGCTGCAAAAGGGAGTTCCATTCAAGGAATAGAACTCTCATTCAATACTCCTAGCGTGTAGTGAAAAAGATGACGAATGGCGCTTCATTCGTACAGAGGCTTCATGCTTTTGATATTGATTTTTTTTACATAATAGGTAACAATAAAAATAATTTTCTGAAACCGCGTCAAAATCGGTTTAACCAAACGCGAGATAAACGGACAATACGACACGTGTTAATAGGCGAACCTCCATATTTTTGCCGGTTATTATATCTAAAACCTTCTTCTTGTTCTCCTAAGTCTGACAAATACTATGCTGAAAACCGCATCGGATCAACGAAACGCGAGATAATCATGCACAAATATACATATACGTCAAACTGAGAACTTCCCTTTTTTGAAGTCAGTTAAATATCTACCACAAGAGAACACATCTAGTTTGCCGATGGTAAAATGATGAAGCTCGTGCATTTCCCGAGTGCACTCCCCGTAGTACATCCTATAAAAGACGAATCAATATGTAAAAGACAAGATTTTTTATAAGAATAGGTATCATCACGTCAATTATTTTAATATAGGTACATTATTAATCTTGATCTACGTTATAGAGTTCTGTTAATTTATCATCCATTTGCCAAGCTGTAAAGCAGTTTGACGTCAGCGGTTCTCGTTTATATGTAACATAATTATTATTTAAATTTGTATCCAGTCATATAGACTAATAAGATATAATAGATTTAAGAGTTAATGGTGTCAGTTCTATTCACCACCACTACCACTCCTATTACTATTTGAGATAAATTAAACGTATGTTAC